TCCCCTTAATCCATTTCTGGGTCAGGGGGTGGCAATCGGTTACATAGCACCCACCCCTCACTGACCCTCCTGCAGGTGGCGAGTCTGACAGTGTGAGCATAGTCTTGATCTTTCAGCGGGGGCTTCAGGCTAAGTGTCTTGCCCAAGGACACAACAAGAGGAGACATCAGTGGGAGTCGGTGGAGAAGGTCTTTTGGTGGGCTCGAACTCATGTGACCTTCAGGGTCAGAGGCCAATGCTCTACCAACTGAGCCACTGTCACCCTATTATTATCATTATGATTATTATTATAAATCAGGAGTGGACTGCCTTAATGTGATTTGAACACATGCCATTTTCCTTTAAAGGCCAATTTATCCCATGACCTTAGCGTTGCATCTTAACAGTTGCTGATGCGTTGTCAAGACCGCAAATCAAGGCATCTGAGAATTGACCAACCCCTGTGGCTCATATCTGGAGTCAAGCTCAAAACATAAACACCAGGATCACAGATAGCGCTAAACCACAGATAATTTAGCTTTTTGGGGCTTCTTGAGCTAGCAGGTTAGCATTGTCCATCTCTTTTCAGTGTACGGTCCCACCCTTTTTAAACCGGACTTTACCATATTTTAATTAGGACTCAATCGGTTTTAAATAGTAGTAAATGTATTTGTATGGCACATTTCACACAGCATCTATGTGAGACGATCTCCCCGAGGTGAATCCACGGGGATCTACACTTCAGCGTAGGTTGAAAGAGAACGAAAAACACCACAATCAGAACATTCTTCTAGTCTTTCCCGGCGACAACACAGAACCGCCACAGGCCAGTTATCCCTGTGGTAACTTTTCTCACTGCTTAAAACCCAGAAACTGTCAGAAGGATTGTGGCTGCTCCTCTTGAAGTGCCCGACAGCGCGCTACACCCGTGGGTACGTCTGTCTGCTCCCGGGTCAAATCAACCCAGTCAGTCTCCCTTCTTCAAATCTGGGAATGGACCATTTTCGCCTCTCTCTCCCTGGCGCAGGCTCGTTCAGTTTATGGCAAATGACAGTCTTTAGTTGAATGAGGTCCCAGCTGAGGTCAGGATGGAGGCAGGGATCAGGTCCCGGATATCTCGAAGGCTCCCCACTGGCTCGTCTGCCTGCTGTATTTTTGATGAAGGCTCCTGTCACCCTGACTCTTATCTCCGCTTTGATCTTGTTTGAGGCTAAAGTCAGAAAACGAGCAACAGAATTTTGAACTAAGCTTCAGCTGCAAGATCGATTTGAAGGTGACGTGTCATGAAATGTACTTTTTGAGCTTTTAAACAACATTGCAACTCTGGAATGTCTGTCTAAAAACTCTTGTCCCAGCCCTGTTATGGTATGTCATTGCACTGCTGTGACATTGCATTTATTTGTATGGCACAGTGCATACACCAGGCAGCTCAGAGTGCTTAACAGAACACGAACAGAAACATTAAAATCACAAAGACATTAAAATATAGCTGCATAAATCTGAAACGCTGCCTCCCCATGTCTACTCCTGAGTCTCTAGGCACCAGCAGGAGGCCCGTCCCTGTGCTCCTCAGAGTCCCAGCAGGAGCCCGGTCCCTGTGCTCCTCAGAGTCCCAGCAGGGGGCCCGTCCCTGTGCTCCTCAGAGTTGGTTCATATGCCACTAACATGTCACAGTTGTAGTTTGGTGAAAGGCCCTGGAGAGACTTGTGCACTGAGCCAAATGAAGTCAGTGCAGAGACCTGAGAACTGGACTAATTCAAGGTAAAAGCATCACCCTAAAGTAGTTTTGGTAATTTCTCAAAGCTGCACAGCTGCAGTTTGGAAAAAAACAAAAACAAATTATACCCCTCTCTATGGTTTTAGCAGAGTGATAGAGCGGGCTGCTAGCATTGCTTTTTTGAGCTTTTAACCAATATTTTAACTCCCTTCTGTCTAAAATTTGATTTACTTTTATGCAACAGAGAGTGTTTAAACACCCTTTATACTTGTTTTTCCCTAATATTTGCAATTTCAGATATGATTTACTTTCTAAAGCATGAAATCACAACAAAAGAAGCAATAAGTAAGTACAAAAAAGGCTCATTACAATGCATGATATTTTAACTTCCACGAAGAAGACCCCAAAGAAGCGTTACAACAGATCTACTTTCTTGAGTTTGAAGGAATCAAACCCTGAAACCCCTCGTACTGCCAGAGGAGGCTGTGTTTCTCAGAGTCCAACTCTCATCCTGGTGACAGCTCGTGTCAGTCACAGGTCAGAGGTCACGGCATTCTGAAAAAAACAGCTATTTGTGTTTGATCCTTCGACTGTCACTCAGACTGTGCTCAGAGAGCCGTGTCAGACTGTAGAACCCACAGAGTCAGCTGCAACTCATGTGTTTGTGATCCATGGCTTTGTGTACGAAGGTATTCATGTACAAGATATTCATGTACGAGATATTCATGTACGAGATATTCATGTACGAGATATTCATGTACGAGATATTCATGTACGAGATATTCATGTACGAGATATTCATGTACGAAGATATTCATGTACGAGATATTCATGTACGAGATATTAATGTACGAGATATTCATTTACGAGATATTCATGTACGAGATATTCATGTACGAGATATTCATGTACGAGATATTCATGTACGAAGATATTCATGTACGAGATATTCATGTACGAGATATTCATGTACGAAGATATTCATGTACGAGATATTCATGTACGAGATATTCATGTACGAGATATTCATGTACGAAGATATTCATGTACGAGATATTCATGTACGAGATATTCATGTACAAGATATTCAGGTACGAGATATTCATGTACGAAGATATCCATGTACGAAGATATCCATGTACGAGATATTCATGTACGAGATATTCATGTACGAAGATATTCATGTACGAGATATTCATGTACGAAGATATTCATGTACGAGATATTCATGTTTGTAGAGCTGCCATCAGGGCTGTCCCCATCCGATTGTCAAACTTTAAATCCAATCCAATTTGCAGTCCTGATCCAGTGCTTTTGATTATCGGTATTGTAATGTTTAAAACTACATTCGTAGCAAGTAAATGCAATGTTTTCCAAGACTGAGTACATTCGTACGGTTGGTTAGTAATTGCTGTAATGAAACGTTCTAACGTTCGTACCGCCTAAGCATGTCACTTAGAGTTTCGCTTTTCAGCCCGAGCCCGAGCAGGCCCGAGGCCCGACCTGAGTTCGGGCCGGGCTCGGGCCTCATTTGGCGCTCAGCTGTCGGGTTCGTGCCGGGCTCGGGCTTCTTTTTTAAAATATATGTTTCTTTTTTATTATTATTGTAATTATTTTTAAATGATTTTTATACATAATGATTTGCATATATATATATATATATATATATATATATATTAATAACGATGTCCGTTGATTGACAACAAGTTATTAAAAAAGTGAATATATTAATGACACTGTAACCAGCGTGTCCTACAGCAGCAGCGGGCCGTGAACGCATCATCCCCGTGTCTCCTGCTGCTGTGGTCAACAGCGAACAGGAACAATAGTAGAAATGGATCGAGTAGAGACAAAACAAATTCAAAAGTGCGTACAACGGGAAATCAGATGTGTCGGGTTCTGTCGGGCTCGGGCCTGTTATACAGCGTTCATTGGTCGGGCTTATACGGGCTCAGGCTTAACATTAGCGGGCTCGGGCCGGGTCGGGCCTCATTTTTCAGGCCCGAACGAAACTCTACCGTCACTGACAGTCCGTGACAAACATTGGAAAGACCTGTTAACTGAAGTACAGATGATGGGTTAGCAACATGCTAAACGCACTCTCTGTGTGGGACCATAGACTGTATATGTTAACGGACAGAGTCACGCCTATCTCCGCCGTTCTCGAGAGGTCTTCCAACGCTATATGTTAGCATTGGCTAATTCTTCTTCTGGGTCTACCCCCATCGGCCCGGGGTGGTATTGCAGCATGTCAGCGCACGTCATTTTGGCCACTTTTGATCTGGGACCCTCCCCCACTGTGTGGGACGGACAATGGTGGAGCTTAAACCATCAGTATCACAGCAGTGTGCAGTAAAGATGATTAAAACAAGGCACAGACGTCTTATCGAAATACGAAAATATCTGTAGTCAAACCTTTAGCTGAACATTCCCTTTGGTATATTTACACAACGCTAACCTTGTCCTCGTTTTCTAATGAGAAATATGTCAAACTGTTGGACACGTTTTAACGGGTTCACAGACACCTTTACCGAAACTGGGCTTTGAAATGTAGCGTGCACGGTCACAGCAAACAACCGCTACGTCACAACAACAGCTGTAAAGATCGGGCGAGTGGGTCGGGCAGTTTAGTCAATCCCCGTTCAGTCCAAAACCAGGAAAAATCAGGATTGGGACACCAAGTTGCAACATGTGTGAAGATAGGTCCTTGTAAAAACAGCTCAAAATGATGTATTAAAAGTATACACTACTGTTCAAAAGTTTGGGGTCACATTGAAATGTCCTTATTTTTGAAGGAAAAGCCGTAGATAACTTTAAACTAGTCTTCACTGTAAAGAAATACACTCTATACATTGCTTATGTGGTAAATGACTGTTCTAGCTGCAAATGTCTGGTTTTTGGTGCAATGTTGTAATTGCTGCAAATGGAGGATTCTTTGACGAAAGCAAAGTTTGATGTAAAAAAAATCTTATTTCAAATACAGATACCCCTAACTTTTAAATGGTAGTGTATATTTCTTTAAACTAGTGTAAATAGGACACAGGGAGACCATGGAAACTCCACACAGAAATAGTATCTTTCAAATGAAACACTTGGCTGTAAAAATACCTCTTAACTCGCAGCATTGACCAGTCGATTCCAAAGCTACACACTCTCTCACACAAACACACACATGCAAATACACACACACACAAACACACACACACATTCTGCATCACAAACACACACTGCTTCTCAGAGCTGCATATTCCTCGTCAAAAGACACTTTCTTTATTTTGTCAATGAACTGGCCCCAAAACAACAGCTATTTCTGTCCCGGATCAGCTCCTACCTTGGACTTGTCGAACAGGCCATGGTTGTCCAAAAGCATGTTTCTTTCCAGGCGGGCGAATCTCCGGAGGTCTCGCTCAAACTGCTGCAAAGGCACAAAAGAATCAATGGAGCGAAATCAAATACGTCTGATTTATTTGACTTTTACGGCCCTGAAAGGAAATGGTGGAGCTTAAAAGCATTTCCTGTGGAGAACTACCACTATTCATGTCAAGGTTGCAAAGTTTTTCACGAGACATTACAGATATTTTATTATCCGACTTCACACAGCGACTTTCAGGCCACGCTCAAGGTGCTCTGGTTGTATCTTTAGAGAGAGAGGCTGTTTGGAAAGAAGCAGGACCTGACCCGAGTGATTTTAGTCCAAAGATCTCACGTTTCACTGGGAATCCTCCTGAGCTCAAAGATAAACTAAACACATGGGATTGAATCAGGAAAAACACTGAATATATTCAAATAAGTGACGTGTTTTTCAGCTACAGGTTTAACACGCAGAGGATTCTGAAAATGTAAAACAAAAATGTGTGAATGAATGTTTAAGGATGATTCAGTTTTGTTTTATTATGTTTTGTATATGCTTTTTATTCTGTATGTTTGAAATGCTTTTATGTGAATTGATCCTGGAATAAATGAATATACTAAAGTACAGTTTATTTTATTTTATTCATTTTTATTTTTATTTTTTATGTATGTATTTTATTTATTTATGTATGTATTTATTTTATTTTGGTTTTTATTTTTTTATTTTTTTTTATTTTTTTAATAGTTTTGTTTTTTTGTTATTTTTATTTTTCATTGTTTATTTTGTTTCTTATTTATTGATTGATGTACCATATTGGTTGATATTGTTGATATTTCTCTCATGCAGTTTTTTTGCATCCTTGTAATATGTATCTTGTCTTTATAAGTCCTTAAACCCATTAATTTCTACTTTAAAACCTGAAAAGTTGATTCAAATGTGTCATTTGTTTTTGTACTGGAGTAAATAAGAAGCTCAGTGAGTAATGTTTTTTTCTTTTTTTCTTTAAGGCACCAGGGGTGGCATTAAATAAGTTTTCTTCTTCCCACTCCTTTCCGAGTATCTGCAAGTGTTTCTTTTGTGTATATAATATTTATAATTCTGTGTTATGTAAATGTAGCTCAGGGTTAATTATGCACAATTTTGATATTCTACTTTTGTTTCTTGTACACTTATTTGCTCGAAATAAACAAACATTGATTTATTTATTTATTGTATTTATTGTTAGTAATTTATTTATTTTTTTATTTACTAGCAATCCGCTGAGCAGTCAGTTTGACAGCTCCTATGGATGAAATCATCCCAACTGATTTTATCTAAAATAACAAATTCATATTTTTCTTTAATCTTCAGTGAAAACACAGATCTGGAAATTGCTTCTTGAAAGGCTACTACCTTAAATGCTAACTGCGGTCGAGTAAACGGTGTGTTGCTACGGAAACTAAAGGTTCTCTTCTCTGGAGGGAAAATAAACTGACCCAAGCGACCAAAACTGACATGTTAACGTTCAAATGAATGAAGCTAAAAATAATATCATAACAAAATAGTTAGTTAAATACTTTATTGATCCCCGCAGGAGAAAAGCAGGTGTCTGTAGCAGCAAAAACACATCCATCCAAACAAACAAAACAAATACATTGATCATTCTAAAAAGCAAACAATAGTAATAGTAGCAAAAAATATACTCAGCAGGTCTCACTGTCAGACTGTACAACGAGACCTGCTGAGTCTTTATGTGCCACTCACCTGTTCTGATAATTCACCAGTCTCTTCACCTGCTGCTGTTATAACTGCTGTTTACTCTGCTGCGTAAGTACAACATTCACATCTGTAAAAACCTCGGAACCAAGTGTAAGTACAGCCCCAGAGTTTTATTTTATTCTATTTTATTATTATTACTTTTTCATTTATGTTTTTAATCCATTGTCTATGATCTTAAATAATGTGTGCATCATCTGAGACTTTTATTTTCTCCTTTTTTGCTGCTGTTTTATCTGAACACATGAAATACTCTCTGTTTTGTTTGTATCAGTGTATCATGAAGTTTCTTACGGTGGATCCGGTCCATCCCAGGAGAGCGAAGGCAAAGCTCTGGACCGGAGGAGCCACCAGGTCCACTCTCACCGCCCTCCAGCCGTGACCCGCCTCTCTGCTGCCCCCTAGCTTCACGCTCAGGAAGCACTTGGCGAAGCAGTCCATGGCATCCACGCGGCGACAGGGCCTCTGCCCCGGGACGAGCCTGGACGGGTGGTAGGCCTGGAACAGCAGCAGGTCCTGAGGGAAGAGAACCAGAGAGAAACCTTTGTTATGAGTGGGTTTTGTGTGGTTTTTTGATATCGGCAGAAATGATTTATTCCTAATCTGTGGCTTGGCAGGAGGAGAGGGCAGCACTGTCAGAGAGAGGAGCCGCAGTTTGACAGGAGCAAAAAAACAAACATAATTTTACCAAAGGAGACTGATCTGCAGCATACACAAACAGCAGGAACGCACAGAGTTCAAACACGCCATCAGTGGGACGCCGCTGCAGGCACGATAAGCTAAGTTTATTAGTATAGCACAATTTATACACAAGGCAAAGTGCTTAACAAAACATAGATAGTAACAATCAGACTAAGAAGGCATTAAAGTCATACATAATTACCATGCTTTAAAAAGAGTAAAGATACAATCCCTCAGTTGAAGGCCTGTCCCTGTGCTCCTGACGGTGCGTTCAGACCGTCAACGCTGAAACGCTGAAGCCCCGCTCACCAGACGCGCATTCTCTAGTTTTCAGACGCAGAGGACTTCACACCAGAACGTCCTGACGCGAGCCGGAAGTACCGGAAGTAGCCGGCAGGCTCTGATGCTAACAGAGTTTAGCTAGCGGCTTCTTGTGTACAGATCTTCTCCAATATGCAGCTTTGCAGCGTGTCTTTGCTCACAGACATTCCACGGGCTTTATACAACAGTAGTATGTGTTCACGGAGGTGCGCCATACATTTTTTCATATTATTAAACGGTATTTTCGCATCGGCGAACACACTCGAAGCCGTTGCATAAAGTCACGGGAGCATGACAACTCATATTTTCACAAGCACAGAGTCCCCCATTGTCAACCCTGGTTTGAGTTCTGGTGAAGTCTGGTGTGGGTCCTGTTTTGGCTGTTTACAGTATTTTCAGTCTGCTCTCTCAGTCCGCTAATGTCCCCGTGACCACTTTGCTGCTCTCTGATTGGTCGCTGCACGGACGTCCCGAGGAAAGGATGAGCAGAATCCATCTCCCGTGGGCGTCCAATATTCGCTCCTGCTCCTCCCCTTTGACTTTCCCGCCAAGTCCGTGCGTCTCTACTGAACGTGCCAAGAGGTCCGTGCGTTGTGACGCTCGAACACGCGTCATCATAGACTTTGCATTGAAACCCGACGCAACGCATGATCCGGTCCCAGCAGGAGGCCAGTCCCTGTGCTCCTCAGAGTCCCAGCAGGAGGCCAGTCCCTGTGCTCCTCAGAGTCCCAGCGGGAGGCCAGTCCCTGTGCTCCTCAGAGTTGGTTCATTTGGCACTAACATGTCACAGATGTCTATTCTCTGAGCCACAGGAGCCAGAGCAGCCGTGATGTGCAGACCTTTTATTGTTGCCATAAAATGAACAGTTGGTCACTATTTACAGTGATTTGTGCTGTTGTATTGTTTAAACGAACATATACAGCGCCTTTCACGACCAGGATCACACAGAACTTCACAATTAGAAATATCCAAAGGAAAATAGAACACATACAAATCAGTTCCATAAACATTTACACACAACACACTTCAGATAAAGCCTGATACAGATACTGCCAAAACAAGAAGTCGTAAGTAGCAAAGTTGTCCAGTGACCTTAACATGTGCCGAGACTGTTAAAGAGAGTCAGTGTAGTCTCTGTGTGTGTGTATGTGTGTGTGTCTATGTGTGTGTGTATGTCTGTGTGTGAGTATGTGTGTGTAGTCTCTGTGTGTGTGTGTGTGTGTGTGTCTGTGTGTGTGTGTGTGTGCGTGTGTATGTCTGTGTGTGAGTATGTGTGTGTGTCTGTGTGTGAGTGTGTGTGTGTGTCTGTGTGTGAGTATGTGTGTATGTGTGTATGTGTGTGTGTGTGTGTGTGATGTAGGCCTCCTTCCTCTGCTCCCTCTTTGTGTGTCTCTCTGTGTGTGATGTAGGCCTCTGATTCCCCTCTCTCTGCGTGTGTGTGTGTGTGTGTGTCTCTCTCTGTGTGTGTGTGTGTGTCTCTCACTCTCTGTGTGTGTGTCTCTCTCTCTCTGTGTGTGTGTGGGTGTGCATATGTGTGTGTGTGTCTCTCTCTCTGTGAGTTGTAGGCCTCCTCCCTCTGATCCCTCTCTCTCTGTGTGCATGTATGTGTGTGTGTGTGTGTGTGTGTGTGTGTGATCCCTCTCTCTGTCTGTGTGTGTGTGTCTGTGTGTGTGTGTGATCCCTCTCTCCCGCAGACAGACAGACCCTGAGCTGCTGCGATCTGCTCCCAACACATGTTTAACAAGTGGCAGCGCTCCAAATGATTTGAGCACAACCTCAAACCATCTGACAAATGACTTTTACATTTGCCAGTCTGTCGTTCTGCCGTTCGCTGGAGAGGTTCGACGCCGCTTTACTCAGCCAAAAAGTCTCTGTGTGCTCTGGTTTGTAATTATTGCAGGAGAGGAAACACAACTGGTTCTCCAATCAAAAAGCAGATAGTGTGAGACGCTAGGACACTGTATCCAACTAGATCTACTTGTTTAGGCTATTAATCATTTTCAAATATAACTTTTCCCTTTAGTGTGTTCTCTCCTGGTCGGTCGAGGTGGCTCGCGCATGTGTTTGGGATGCCTCCTGAACTCCTCCCTGGTATCGGGAGGAGACCAGGGGAAGACCCAGGACACGTTGGAGGGACTGCGTCTCTCAGCTGGCCTGGGAACACTTTGGGATTGCCCTGATGAGCCGGAGGAAGAGGGAAGTCTGGGCATGGATGAAGAAAAAGCCCCGAACCAACACCCTCCATTCACTCATTACATTCAGACCTATTGTACATGTTTTTAGTGGTAGGTGATACCCGCAGCACCCGGAGGAAACCTACGCAGACACAGGTAAAACATGTGAACGTCACACAAAAAAGGCCCTGGAGGTTTAATCGAACCCAGTACCTTCTTGCTGTAAAACACAAACTCTAAACGTGCAATAAAAAGTAGATTTTTACTGTCGCGTAGAAAGATTTAGGACAAAGAATCGAAACAAGCAGATGTCAAAGTAAACCTACATCCTCGGTTCTTTACACAATTGTCTGGTGTTAGAGACAAGACAACCAAGGAAGTAAAAACCAATTCAAATGTAGTATGGGGTAAGGTTACTGTCAATAAAGACGATGTTTAAAAAATATCGTGCATATTTATCGGTATTTGTGCATACAAATATTTTATTAATTCATGATTAAGAAAATACAATTTTTTTTTTTTTTCTGTAGAATAAAACAATACCAGAATAAAAAAATAAAGCTAGCATTGGCGCTAACAACACTGCCAAAAAACGTTTCTAGAGAGGGACAAGAAACATCTTATGAACACATTTTATGGAATTAATATTTCTTACACATTTATTTACGACCAAAATGATAAAATATAGTTATATACCAAATTTTGAGCCACGTTGTTAATGTTGTTGCCCTCTGCCACGATCAACTCTGCGCTCGATTGTTAATGTCTGTGAGCAGTGACGTCATATTGACAGTTTGCTCACTGCTGAAATTCATATTCTCAAAGAAGAAAATACAAACACACAAAACAATCTTATTCACAAATACGAAATCACACAAATTTCTTTTGAGTTTGTATTTTCTTAGTCAGGGTTAGGGTTTAGGGTTTAGGGTTAGGGTTAGGGTTAGGGGTTAGGGGTTAGGGGTTAGGGGTTAGGGTTAGGGGTTAGGGTTAGGGGTTAGGGGTTTAGGGTTAGGAAAAATATGCACGCATTTTTGTTAAACATGCACGTCTTTATTGACAGTAACCTTACCCCATACGTAACCCACCATTCCCATGTCTGTTGTTAACTGGACGTGTGCGACTGGGAGAGCTGTCAACCCCTTCAGCGGAGAAACCCTCCTGCTGAGGCCCAGACTTGTAAAATCTCTGGCCTCAGTCCTCACCCGTCACTGTTCCCGTTCCGAGGCCGAAAACAGCGCGACAAAGTGGACTTTTCAACAGAGACTTGTTCACGACTACAAAGATTGTTCCAGGAAAATGGCAACGCTTCTTAGAAAACAAAAATCTGTAACAAAAACGCCCCGAGGTGCAGTAAAGTGAGCCGGGCTGTTACACGGAGAGAGCGACGGGCGACAGAAACCAGACTGAAGTGGGTTTTTACCGCTGCATAAAAGAGATGGAACCGTTTATACTGAACCATCACGGTCAAATTTGGACTCTGTGAAATCCTTAATCGTCTTTATTGGAGGCTTTTAAATCTACGCCTTGGCTTTAAACGCTCTTGAGTTTGACCGTTTTTACATGTCTGCGTTTTTATTTTATGCTTTTTCTTCTCTTTTGTTTCGGTTGTGCTTGTGCAATAAAAAATAAAGCTGACATTGACGTTGTATATGTCAATTTAGGAGGATTTTCTACTTCCGGGTGGATCTTCAAAACGATTGGTCCTCCCAAATGTCAATCATTCTGCTGATCCGTTGTTCTAGATTTGCTGATCCTGAGTTTCAGTGTTGCATCAGCGGTTACGAGATAAGTGAACGATAACTCTATGTCAAAATCTGGACGGACCATCTCCATCCTATAGGACCCCAGGAGAGGAGGAGGAGGGGAGAGAGGAGAGGAGGAGGGGAGAGAGAGGAGAGAACGGATAGGCGTAGAGGGAGATGAGAGAGAGGAGAGGCAGAGGACCGGAGAGGGAGGGAGAGGAGACAAGAGAGAGGAAAAGGGGAGGAGAGGAGAGAGAGAGAGGTAGAGAGGTGTGGAGGAGGAGAGGGGAGAGGAGAGAGAGGAGAAAGTAGAGTGGGTGAGAGAGAGAGGGGGAGAGGAGAAAAAAGAAGCGGGAGAAAGGGGGAGAGGAAGAGAGGAGACAATGAGAGAAGAGGGAGAGAGGTAGAGGAGAGAGTGGAGAGAAGAAGAGGAGAGGGGGAGAGGAGAGAGAAGGAGAGGAGACGATGAGAGGAGAGAAGAAGAGGAGAGGGGGAGAGAGAGAGGAGAAAGAGGAGAGAAGGAGAGGAGACAAGGACAAGAAAGAGGGGAGAGGGAGAGGAGATAGAAGAGAGGGGGACAGGGAGAGGAGAGGGAATGAGAGAGAGGAGGAGGACACAAAGAGAGAGAGGAGTTGAGGAGCCCACTTCTCATCTGCTCCTGTGAGAGGACGGAGAGAGCTGCTTCAGAAATATACAGAAAACTGCCAAAAATAGTAAAAAATATAATAATAGTAATAATTATAATAATAATAATAATAATAACAGCCTTGTGATGTCGGACGATCTGTTTCATCTGTCAAATAAAAGAAATACTGGACTCAGAAAAAGAGACATTGGTACCAGTCTGATCCGTGGAGACGTTGGTACCAATTCATCGATCCAAGACTGAGGCTGTAGATCCAGGACTGAGGCTGTAGATCCAGGACTGAGGCTGTAGATCCAGGACTGAGGCTGTAGATCCAGGACTGAGGCTGTAGATCCAGGACTGAGGCTGTAGATCCAGAACTGAAGCTGTAGACCCAGGACTGAGGCTGTAGATCCAGGACTGAGGCTGTAGCTCCAGGACTGAGGCTCTTGATCCAGGACTGAGGCTGTAGACCCAGGACTGAGGCTGTAGACCCAGGACTGAGGCTGTAGATCCAGGACTGAGGCTGTAGACCCAGGACTGAGGCTGTAGATCCAGGACTGAGGCTGTAGATCCAGGACTGAGGCTGTAGCCCCAGGACTGAGGCTCTTGATCCAGGACTGAGGCTGTAGACCCAGGACTGAAGCTGTAGACCCAGGACTGAGGCTGCAGATCCAGGACTGAGGCTGTAGACCCAGGACTGAGGCTGTAGATCCAGGACTGAGGCTGTAAGATCCAGGACTGAGGCTGTAGATCCAGGACTGAGGCTGTAGATCCAGGACTGAGGCTGTAGCTCCAGGACTGAGGCTCTTGATTCAGGACTGAAGCTGTAGACCCAGGACTGAGGCTGTAGATCCAAGACTGAGGCTGTAGACCCAGGACTGAGGCTGTAGATCCAGGACTGAGGCTGTAGATCCAGGACTGAGGCTGTAGATCCAGGACTGAGGCTGTAGACCCAGGACTGAGGCTGTAAGATCCAGGACTGAGGCTGTAGATCCATGGACTGAGGCTGTAGATCCAGGACTGAGGCTGTGGATCCAGGACTGAGACTGTGGATCGAGGACTGAGGCTGTGGATCCAGGACTGAGACTGTGGATCGAGGCCCGAGGCAGCTCTATTGTTTTGTGTTCTGTGTTTGTCTTATTCTGAACAAAGAGTCCGTAATAAAGTTTAATTATGACGATGATATTGGCGAGTTGTTTGCCAATATTTTTCAAACAGATAAACATGATTCATGGACTTCTAACGGTTGCTGCTTTCTGTAACAAAGTCTAATATGTTCAGTAAGTATTTGTAGCAGCACAGTTTTCTCCCATTCTCTGTATTCCATTGTATTCTGCAGAAGAGAAAGCCTCCATTGTGCAGTTTGAAGGCTACACAGGAAATGCCGCACAATTGACAAGAAAATATAATTCTGAATAACTTATTGTCACTGGATATTTGTGTTGGATTTCTCTGCATCAAAAACACAGTAACTCATAACATGGCTCTGATGTAATCTTTGGAGGCTAGCTTTTTGCGCAATCCATACTAAATTGACCCGCCACATTTATTAAATAATACCCTAAATATTTTGTTTTGAGCTGAATTGTGATGAATTGCACTAGCTGGACCAGCCCCGTGGCATTTAGACACTTTTAGACTATAATTTAGTTTATTTTAGGATTAATGAATTAAGTGATCCTCTATTTGTCCCACAGTGGGGTAATGACAGAGGAATGAGGAGCAAGCAAAAGAAAAATGAACAATGACTCCATACAATATAGAAATAACTACTTATCTTCTGTAAATGTTCTGTGGGGGAGGGGCATTTGGATAAGAGAAGGGTTATTACACATAAGAACGACGTACATGTATGTAACCTTGGCTCAGGTTCTATCCAGGCTGGTGGCTGAGCACGTTCGCATGTTCTCCCCGTGTCTGTGTAGGTTTTTCTTCGGAGTGCTCCTGTTTCCCCTACCACTAAAAACATGCACAATCCTCCAGCTCTGGTCCTCACCAAAGCCGGGCAACCGCTGCTCCCGACCTATACTCAAGTGGCATCAGGATGGGTCAAATGCAGAGGACAAAACTCACTGCGGAGGTAGATAGAGAGATAAAGAGAGAGATAGAGAGAGAGATAGATAGATCCCTCATCCTTCTAACCCCACACTTCTCCCCATCACAGAAACACATTTCCTGATCAGCCTGTCGAGCCGGTTACTATCTCTTGAGGTCAGACTGCCCCCAACACGCAACCCCACAGAACCCATGACCCCACAGAACACATGACCCCACAGAACACATGACCCCACAGAACACATGACCCCAAAGAACCCATGACCCCAAAGATCCCATGACCCCAAAGATCACATGACCACAAAGAACACATGACCCCAAAGACCACGCGACCCCAAAGAACCCATGACCCCAAAGAACCCATGACCCCAAAGCTCACAGGACCCCAAAGATCACATGACCCCAAAGAAACCATGACCCCAAAGAACACATGACCCCAAAGAACACATGACCCCAAAGAACCCATGATCCCAAAGAACATGCGACCCCAAAGAACCCATGACCCCAAAGAACATGCGACCCCAAAGAAACCATGACCCCAAAGAACACATGACCCCAAAGAACCCATGACCCCAAAGAACACGCGACCCCAAAGAACCCATGACCCCAAACAACCCATGACCCCAAAGATCACATGACCCCAAAGAACCCACGACCCCAAAGAATCCACGACCCCAAAGAACCCATGACCCCAAAGAACCCATGACCCCAAAGAACACATGACCCCAAAGAACACACGTCCCCAAAGAACCCACGACCCCAAAGAATCCATGACCCCAAAGAACACATGACCCCAAAGAACCCATAACCCCAAAGAACACATGACCCCAAAGAACACATGACCCCAAAGAACACACGGCTCCCAAAGAACACACAACCCCAAAGAACCCATGACCCCAAAGATCACATGACCCCAAAAAACCCAAAGAACACATGACCCCATGACCCCAAAGAACACATGACCCCAAAGAACCCGTGACCCCAAAGAACCCACAACACCAAAGAACACATGACCCCAAAGAACCCATGACCCCAAAGAACCCACAACCCCGAAGAACACATGACCCCAAAGAACCCAAAACCCCAAAGAACCCATGACCCCAAAGAACACGCGACCCCAAAGAACACATGACCCCAAAGAACCCAAGACCCCAAAGAACACGCAACCCCAAAGAACCCATGACCCCAAAGAACCCGCGACCCCAAAGAACCCATGACCCCAAAGAACACATGACCCCAAAGAACACGCGACCCCAAAGAACCCATGACCCCAAAGAACACATGACCCCAAAGAACCCATGACCCCAAAGAACACGCGACCCCAAAGAACCCATGACCCCAAAGAACCCATGACCCCAAAGAACACATGACCCCAAAAATCACATGACCCCAAAGAACCCACGACCCCAAAAAACTCATGACCCCAAAGAACACATGACCCCAAAAAACCCGTGACCCCAAAGATCACATGACCCCAAAGAACCCACAACCCCAAAGAACACATGACCCCAAAGAACCCATGACCCCAAAGAACCCACGACCCCAAAGAAGCCACAACCCCAAAGAGCCCATGACCCCAAAGAACACGCGACCCCAAAGAACTCATGACCCCAAAGAACACATGACCTCAAAGAACACATAACCCCAAAGAACCCATGACCCCAAAGAACACATGACCCCAAAGACCCCACAACCCCAAAGAACCCATGACCCCAAAAAACACGCGACCCCAAAGAACCCATGACCCCAAAGCACACATGACCCCAAAGAACACATGACCTCAAAGAACACATAACCCCAAAGAACCCATGACCCCAAAGAACCCATGACCCCAAAGAACACATGACCTCAAAGAACACATGACCCCAAACAACCCATGACCCCAAAGAACACGCGACCCCAAAGAACACATGACCCCGAAGAACACATGACCCCAAATAACCCATGACCCCAAAGATCACATGACCCGAAAGAACCCACAACCACAAAGAACCCATGACCCCAAAGAACACATGACCCCAAAGAACTCATGACCCCAAAGAACACACAACACCAAAGAACACATGACCCTAAAGAACACGCAACCCCAAAGAACCTATGACCCCAAAGAACACATGACCCCACAGAACACATGACCTCAAAGAACACATAACCCCAAAGAACCAATGACCCCAAAGAACCAATGACCCCAAAGAACACATGACCTCAAAGAACACATGACCCCAAAGAACACATGACCTCAAAGAACACATGACCTCAAAGTACACATAACCCCAAAGAACCTATGACCCCAAAGAACCCATGACCCCAAAGAACACATGACCTCAAAGAACACATGACCCCAAAGAACCCATGACCCCAAAGAACCCATGACCCCAAAGAACACGCGACCCAAAAGAACCCATGACCCGAAAGAACCCATGACCCCAAAGATCACATGACCCGAAAGAACCCACAACCCCAAAGAACACATGACCCCAAAGAACCCATGACCCCAAAGAACCCACGACCCCAAAGATCACATGACCCGAAAGAACCCACAACCCCAAAGAACACATGACCCCAAAGAACCCATGACCCCAAAGAACCCACGACCCCAAAGAACACATGACCCCAAAGAACACATGACCCCAAAGAACCCATGACCCCAAAGAACACATGACCTCAAAGAACACATGACCCCAAAGAACCCATGACCCCAAAGAACACGCGACCCCAAAGAACCCATGACCCCAAAGAACACATGACCCCAAAGAACCCATGACCCCAAAGATCACATGACCCCAAAGAACCCGCGACCGCAAAGAACCTACGACCCCAAAGAACCCACAACCCCAAAGAACCCACAACCCCAAAGAACCCACAACCCCAAAGAACCTATGACCCCAAAGAACCCATGACCCCAAAGAACACGGCACTAGCTTTAACAAACTGGTAAACAATGTGTGACATCTGACAGCTCACATCCAATAAAATCCACATCTACATTTTAACGGTCACGGCTTTTGGAAAGTAGCCGTTCTGTTTACACACACACACTCCGAGGAAACCATAAATGTCTTGCTCTAGATGAAGCGTTCGCACTGCGTGTCTTCAGGTAATGCATTCCTAATTAGCAGCAGCTCATTTTTGCTAATCGTATGCGGAAATAGTCCTGCTCTGCTCTGGCTCCAGACCGCTGCTCTGCCAGATAAGCGCTCAACTCCTCGTATTAAGGTGAGTTTGAGGGGGAGATCCTTGAGTCAGCTTATGGGGCTTAGCTGGAGGCTGTGACAGTGCCCACTCCGATAATGAGGCCAGAGTGACGCCATAATGGAACTTAAAGAGCGTCTAATCTCAAATGAAAATTCCCCCCCCCCCCTGACTCCAGAGAAGTGTTGAGCTCTTCACGGCGGAGGATGTGGGTCAGAGAGGACGGTGTCGTTCGGCCCACACTGGTCCCATTCCAGCTGGTGCCGCAGGAGGGAGATAGTAGCAAGTAGAGAGCTCTGGAGATGCAAAGGCCATTAGTGGAGAATGAAGTCAGGGTGGTTTTGGATGGAGGTGGTTATTATAGGCTCATTACATATTTTGCGTATCTAATGTTAGCAACTCATGCCCCAGTTCCACCAGGCTAAGTTAACTCTACTCTACTCTACTCTACTCTACTCTACTCTACTCTACTCTACTCTACTCTACTCTACTCTACTCTACTCTACTCTACTCTACTCTACTCTACTCTCTACCACCTGCTCTGTCTAACCGGCTCCAGCTACTTGGTCCTGGTTCTATCCAGGCCGAGTGACGGATAGGAAAATCTGCTGTTGCCATGGATACAGAATAAATATAATTTTCTTTATGCGTCCCACAGTGGGGAAAGTTCAATATTGCAGCACACATACAGGACAGTAGTAAGAGACCAGTGATGGGAATAACGGCATTACTAGTAACGGCGTTACTAACGCCGTTACTTTTTTCAGTAACGAGTAATCTAACTAATTACTTTGACAGTAACTATAACGCCGTTATCATTTCCGACATCCCGTTACTGCGCGTTACTCAAGACGCACAATGAACGTGTCGTCATGAGAGAAGGGAGGATGAGAAAACCTCTCAGAAATTATTGGCTGATGTAAATCATATTTCCTTTACAATCCACATGTCTACAGTTGAGAGGATGGCTCATAAATTGTGTTTTTGAAACAAATATGGGTCTTAATCGCGCTCAACCACGGCTTGTATCACCGTGAGGTCAGCCACAGAGTAGCGCATGTGAGCGCAGAAGTCGGCTACATACAATTCCATCGATAAGCTCCTTGCTCTTCCTGGTTTATCTGCTAAGGACAGCAACAGGTTTGGCTAACATACATATAACACATTTTTACATAATCTAAAATGCAAATAGGGTAATTTTTCAATGACTATAGGAATGATAAGAAAGAGAGGTGAAGTGTAAGACGGTTGGTTTTAGAAATTGGATGCACTCGGCTGCAGCTAGCAAAACACAGGAGTTTATGGAGGACACACGCGTTTTGTTTTACTTTTTAAAACTCATTGGACTCATTTCCAAATGGAGGATTACATATCTACGCTCAAACTATTAACTGGATTTAAACAAGGAACTGGTCTGAACCGAAGTGGACTGTGCAGGTCATTTATAAGGTATAGCTACTGTATAAGGTAAGACCCATAACTCATAGTTTTGCGTTTTGTATGAACAAACAATGCGGGCATAAAACATATTTTGCTGTAGCCAAACAAATTGTCCACTTGATTTATATGATGTATATGTTCATCTGATTGGACTGAAGTCAGTGCTTCACCAGCCTCACCGCTCGTCACCGGTGTTTCCACATTCACAGTGGAGCGTGTTGGTGTTTAGTGCTGACAGCACAGAGAGAGATGAAGAGTGAACAGGACTTCAGCAGCAAAACAGCCTTTTCTAGATGGAAATATTGGCACTGTTAAAGGTAAAAATGCGCACGTCGGGTGCACATTATGTTCCAGAACAAAACGAAAAAGTAACGCAATAGTTACTTTTACAAGTAACGTGCCCAACACTGTAAGAGACACAGGGAGCACACAGAATATACAAAAAAGGTAGCTGCTATGTTTCTTAGCTAGCTGTAAATGCTGAAAATGCTCCTGTACCAGTCTTTCAAATTATGCATTTATACTGTATACGTATGTAGTGCAGAGTTTTATACTGTACATATAAGGCAGGATAACAAGTAGATAAAGTAAAGCAGGTGTCTCCAACCTTTTTCACCCAGAGAGCTACTTTCCCGGGACAATAACGGCAGAGAGCTACTCCTTTAAGTGGCCCTGGGGAAAAAAATAGTGTGAACAATTCTGATATTGGGCATGAAGTCATTATTTATCATTGCATATTTGTTACTAGGGACAAAGTAAATGATTTTACAATAATAAATAATGATAATAAATAATACAATCTGAAATATTAAGTATATTGTTTGATTTGTTCATTTCTAAATCTTTTGGCGAGCTATTGGTGGCTCCCGAGCTACTGGTTGGAGACCCCTGATATAAAGTGACTATGTTCAGTGGAAATTTTGAAGTCACAGTATTGCACAAATTATTATTATTTATAAATGAATGACATTTACAGACTCAGCAGTTCTCATTGTACAGTCTGACAGCAGCTGAGAGGAACCACCTGCAGAACCTCTGCTTCACACAGCGAGGGGGAATCAACCATGGCTTAACTTGCAACAGTATTTACATATACAGGTATATGTTTAGTAAATAAGTAAGTAATCTTTATCTATACAGCTCATTTTTAAAGACCAAGGTCACTCAAAGCACTTAAGTATAACTCTTAAAATCATCATGCGACCACCAGCTAGTGTCCCACGAACCCCACTTTGAGAACCACCACAAAACGATACAAAACACAAGACAGCACAAGCTAGGCACTAATCAATCAATATTGTAAGCAGCGGCAAAGTACAAAGAAATGGGGGAAAACAACTCATTCATACTTATTATCTCGGAATCATTTTGAATTTAATCAACAATTCACTCCTGCCTATAACAGTATAAAGTTATTGTTTCTAAATCCATCCTGTTATTGTGTTTCGTGGCCACTCTCCGTAAATAACCACTCACTGTTCATATGGGTTTTGTGGTTTTTATGAAGGCGATTCTTTCTGAATGTAATAAAAACCCTGCGCTGGTCCAAACGGCTCGGTCTGACTCATCTTATTCAAGGGAAGGGAAATCTCCGGCTCCTCTAACCGCATCCACGGAACAATAACACTCAGCTCCATCCCATTATTATGAAGCCCACAGACGCCGGGTTCTGCAGCCGTTTATGCACCACTTAGAGCCACGAATGATGGATGGACCTTCACTCTGCTACGGCGGCTGAGAAGGGACATTTTTCTGAGATGGGGCCAAAGGTTTTAAAAGAAGTTTGAATTTTCGAACGCATACACTAGATGTAGTTGCCCATTGGTCCAGTTCATTCTATTTTTCAGTAAATATCTGAGTGGCAGAGTTGCTGGGATCTTAGATATAGGGTGAGAAGTAATTAAGTAAGTAATATCTATTTAGATAGCGCATTTTTACAGACCAAGGTCACCCAAAGCGCTTTACAATGTTCAG